TTGGTTGGTTGGTTAGTTAGTTGGTTGGTTGGTTGGTTGGTTGGTTGATTGGTTCTTAGATTGGCTGATTGGTGGGTTAATTGGTTGGTTGGTTATGTAGTCGGTTTGTTGGGTCGATTGTTTGGTTGTTTGGTTTGTTATTTTATTGGTTGGTTGGTTGTATGGTAAGGCAGTTGGTTGGTTGTCAGATTTGATGACCCAAATTATACTTTTGGTCAAATTCAACTTGCATTAGGTTGTAAGCAAATAAATCTGACGATTAAAAAATCCAGTCGATTGCTCCCTCTGTAATAGATAAAGTGGTTGACCTTGTCGACTACAAGCCAGACGCTATTTGTAACTGTCTTTATTCATACACTACTAGTCGAGCTGACAAAAAAGGATTTTAAGGAACTTTTTATTCTTTTACGGAGCTGTGAAAAGTCGGTTTTTATCTCAGGTCCGATCCCAACGCTAGGCTGCGGAGCAGGGCGTTTCACTAGGATGCTCAGCCTCCACACCTGGCTCCAATCCGCCTGCAGAGCTGCCAATTTTGGTTTTATTGACAATTTCAATCTATTTTGGGACCGACCCACCCGCCCTCTTCGGCACTGATGGAATCCACCCCAGCAGGCTTGGTAGGCGCATGCTAGCGGCTAACATGCATCACACTGTTCAGATGTCTCCCTGACTTTTCTCACACCACGTTGACAAACCCCCCTCTCCGGCCGTGTCATCCCAGGCCACTGTTTCCACGCCTGCCGTCTCGCTCTCTGGCGGCGACCAGAGGCTTCTATGCCAGTGCAGCGTCCCATTTGTGTTGTGGCCTGCTGACACAGAAGGCTGGTGACTCGGGCATCCGTCTGAATGGATCACATTTTGCAGTGATTCCACGTGCTCCACGGTCTGTCGTTAACAGTCAGAGTGGTGGTATGTCAAACACACTCAAACTGGCTTTATTAAATGTCAGGTCTTTAGCAGGTAAATCACTTTTAATCAATGATTTTATCCCCAAGCACAACCTGGATTTTATGTTTTTAACTGAAACTTGGTTAGACCAAAACAACAGTATAGAATCAACCCCTCTCAACTTTAATTCTACGAGTCAGGCAAGACTACATAAGAAAGGGGGTGGAGTAGCTATTTTGTTTAATGACTTATTCCAATGCAAGCAGACTATGTATGGAAACTTTGCTTCTTTTGAATATGTGGCCCTTCAGCTGAAATGCTCCTCTCGAGCTCCTTTCCTAAACATCTACAGACCACCCAAATACTGTGCAGGCTTTGTTGATGATTTGACAGAGTTGTTGTCTATAGTGTGTATTGACTTTGACCGTTTAATCATTGTTGGCGATTTTAATATCCATGTTGACAACCCTGAGGACAGAGGGGCTAAAGAACTGTTTTGTGTTATCGACAATTTTGGACTGACTCAGCATGTCAAGGGTCCGACGCACAATAAGGGGCACACTCTGGACTTAATTGTATCAAAGGGTCTGAACATCTCTAAGCTTGTGGTGACTGATGTTGCGCTCTCCGACCATTCCTGTGTTTTCTTTGAGAGCTCTATTACCGTCCATACAACTGTTAAGAAAGAGGTAACCGTTAGACGTCATGTTTGCTCAGATTTTTACTCCCTCAATTGCCCATGCTAACTTCTCAGTAAATGAGCTAGTTGATCATTTTAATTCTAAAATAACAAATGTCATGGATGCCATTGCTCCCATTAAAATAAAGGAAGTATCTGGCAAAAAAATATCTCCATGGAGAAAAGCCATGACCGTGAGAACAGCAAAGACTGAGTGCAGAAAAGCTGAACAGGTGGAGAAAAACAAATCTCCAGGTTCACTTGGAAATATATAAAGAGAGACTCGGTTTCTATAATCAGGAAATAAAAAAGGCACGACAATCGTTCTTCTCTGACATCATTACCAACAATAAAAACAACTCACGTGCCTTGTTTGCTACCGTCGACAGACTAACAAACCCCCCAGTGTCGATAGCCTCAGAATTTCTATCCACCAGGGCCTGCAATGACTTTGCCTTCTTCTTCACTGACAACATCATGCAAATTAGACAGGCAGGCAGTGCCTCTGCTTCAGGTACAGCCAATGTGTTGTCCCTGTGTCCACCTAAAGCCATTTCAGACACCATGTCACAATTCCGTCTGATAAATGCTAAAGACCTGGAAGACATTATCCAACATCTGAAATCCTCCTCCTGTAGCCTCGACATCATCCCGACAGGATCTTTCAAAACAGTTTTTCATTGCTTGGCCTCAGATCTACTACACATAGTAAACAAGTCTCTTCAATCAGGCCCTGAAAACTGCAATAATTAAACCGCTCCTAAAAAAGCATAACCTAGATGAACCATAATGAATAATTACAGGCCAATATCAAACCTTCCCTTTTTAAGCAAATTTATTGAAAAAGCTGTTTTTCAACAGTTGAGTAATTTAATGTTTTTAACTGACGGTTTTGATGTGTTTCAGTCGGGCTTTCGACCTAACCCCAGCACTGAGACTTCACTTGTTAAGGTCTTAAAATGACATCCATTTGAACACAGACAGTGGCAGAATATCAGTGTTAGTATTATTAGATCTCAGCGCTGCCTTTGATACTGTTGACCACAACATATTGCTAGACCGTCTAGAAAACTGGGTGGGAGTTTCAGCAACAGCTCTAAACTGGTTTAGTTCCTACTTGAAGGACAGAACAAACTTTGTCTCAATAGGCAATTACAAATCAACCCTGATAAATATGTCATGCGGGGTTCCTCAAGGCTCCATCTTAGGACCTTTGCTTTTTAATATTTATATGCTACCTCTGGCTGAAATTATTAAAAACAGCGATCTAAGCTATCACATCTATGCAGACGACACCCAGATGTATTTTAAAATGACACCGGGAGACTACTCTCCGATTAGAACACTGAGCAAGTGCATTGAGCACATCACTGACTGGATGTCATGACCAATTGAACAAACAAAGAACTGAGATCATTGTTTTTGGAGCAAAGAAGGACCGATTAAAAGTAATCACAGAGCTTCAGTCGGCAGGCTACAAAGTAACTCACAAAGCAAGACATCTGGGTGTAGTGATGGACTCAGACCTGAATTTTAACATTCACATTACAACAGTTATTAGGTCTGCATTCTACCACCTGAAGAATATATCAAGGATTAAAAAACTAATGTCGCGACAGGATTTAGAAAAACTTGTCCATGCTTTTATTTTCAGACTCGACTACTGTAATAGTGTATTCACAGGGCTCACTAAAACCTCTATCAGAAAGCTGCAGCTGATTCAGAACGCTGCTGCTCGAGTCCTCACTGACACTAGAAGAGTGGATCACATCACTCCGGTTCTGAGATCATTACACCGGCTTCCAGTCTGCCAAAGAATTGATTTTAAAATACTACTGCTAGTTTTTAAATCACTAAATGGCTTAGGACCGAGGTATACAGACGACCTCCTCCATCACTATGAAGCATCCAGGAGTCTCAGGTCTTCTGGGTCGGGTCTGCTCTCTGTTCCGAGAACAACCACTAAACATGGAAAAGCAGCTTTTAGTTATTATGCCCCGACAATCTGGAACAAACGGCCCACATCGTCACGTCCGCCGAAACACTTCCTATTTTTAAATCCAGACTTAAAATGCACCTATTTGCCGCTGCTTTTAATTGAGCTGCCCATGCTCACACTACAGTATGCCTTTCAGTCATGTATTCTATACCTGCTGTGTGTATTTATTTATTTTATTTCATTATCTTTGCTTTTTATGCCTGTTTTTAAATGCCTTTTTAATAATGTATTTATGCTGTATTTGTTCTTAAATGGGGCGAAGCCTGCGAGCTAGTTCAGGCAGTCAACTCGAGCACTTATGCTGCATTCATGCATAACGCCCCCTTGCCACTCCAACCAACCAAACAGAGTCTCCTTAATACGCCGCTCTATTGAACCTACAGATCTCTCTCTGCATTGCTTGCTGCTACGTCGCTGCTGCTCGCTGCCCCACCACCACCCCAGCTTCCACCTGTAGGCTCGGGGGTTAGTTATTTAATCATCACTCATCGTGCTTTGTATATCTATGGAGTGATGATGCCCGAGCCTAGTCGCCAAACTCAACTATATGCTGCTTCTAATAAACATGTTAAAGGAGTCTGACTGAAATGTCTTTTGCTTTTCATCTCTAAAGCACTTTGAATCGACACGTGCTGAAAAGTGCTATATAAATAAAACTGCCTTGATGTGCATTCTGGGGAGAGTTTAGTTATGCCGTTAAAATATGTTAAATGTATAAAATAAATAAATAAATGTTTTTAAGGAAATAAATTGTTATGTACGAATCATTATCAAATCAAATCAAAGTTGATTTATAAAGCACATTTAAAAGCGATGAAATGAAAGTGCTGTACATGTACAATACTACAATCACAATAAAAGACAATACATTACAACAGATATATAAAAAAACACAGGGAAAAGTCAGGAGTCGTGCTCCGCTCTGACTAAATTATGTTTAGTTATCTATTTGTTCACATCATTTCTTGTATCATGATTCCCTGCACTGCATTTAGCTCGACACATTCAGGATAAACCCAAATCACCCGATCCTAAAAAAGTCCAAATGGCCTTTGAAGAACAATATAAACACCTAGATTTCCTAGAAGTGAAAATCCACGAAAGGATAACTGCTTTGACACCCATTGATCCAGATTCTAATGTTTACAGTACCCTAAAAGGAAACTGCAGCTACTACAGTGATAAGCTCTTCAATACACAACTCAACGACATCAAAGGCCTTTCAATAATCCACTTTAATGCGTCTTTATGCAAATCGAACTATTCCTTGAACTCATAAATAGATCTTTTGATATCATTGCTATCTCTGAGACCTGGCAAACTGATGTCAATATTATATCACATTTCTACCGAATGATATGCCTTTCCACATGAACCATGAACTCCAAAGAGGTGGAGGGGTTTCATTGTGTGTGTGTGTGTGTGTGTTTGCAGGTTCTCGGCCGGGTGTTGCTGCTACAGCTGATCGATGACTTTGTGCGCGGATACAGAAACAACGAGGATTGGTCGGTGAAGTTACTGAACAGCACCCGCATCCACATCCTGCCGACGATGAACCCCGACGGCTTCGATGAGTCAGACACAAACTGTCTGTTCAGCCAGGGCAGGTACACATGACGAACAACAGAGACCTATCAGGAAATCTGCTCTTCTAGGGAGATTTTAAAGGTCACCTATTATGGTTTGTTATATAGTTTACAGTCATGGTAAAAGCCTTTAAGTATGGAGTGTGTGTGACTGTGTGACAAGTGTGAATCCTTCTGTGTGCATGTGTGTATTATGAAACTGTTCTGAGCCCATACTCCAACGCCCAACACACACTGATAGGCAGGAAACCAGACACACACTGTAGATTTGTATCACACACACACACACATGGACACAGATTACAGTCACGGTCAAAGCCTTAAATATTCAATTATGAGTGTTTTGACTTCTTCTAATGTTGCGTATAGGAGACTCTTGTGTGTGATTGTGTTATATCAGCAGAGAACATGCTTTGTTAAGGATCTTTTAGCTCTGATTCTAGCAGATATCTTCCCGATGGGGATCTGACAAACGTGTCTACCAGATCCTTAGCTGGTCTACCACTGCTTAGTTTGGTTAGTTCATGTGTGTTATTACATGAATATAGGGATTTGAGGGTCAGTTTGATTCCACCACAGGTTCTTTTAGCTCTGTTTTTGGTCTCTCTCCTATAAAGGGAATATTATGTTCCTTTTAGCAGACATCCCTTTCAGATGGGGAGCTGAGAACTGTCAACCAGACACCACCTCACAAAACACAGGATGTGCTGGTCTACCGCTGCGTAGTTTGGTTAGTTAATTGGTGTTATTGTGTGACTTTGGTGTTTTAATGGGTGATCAAAGTCCCACAATAACAACAACTAACTAACCAAGCGAGAAAATTACACACCAGGAACTCCTGTGTTTTGCAAGTTAAAATGACTGTTTTTGTCAATGAAGTCATATGGCTTTGAAGAGAGCTTAGATGAGTGTGTGTGTGTGTGAGTGGTGTGTGTGTAGATGTGTGTGTGTGTGTGTGTGTGTGTGTGTGTGTGTGTGTGTGTGTGTGTGTGTGTGTGTGTGTGTGTGTGTGTGTGTGTGTGTGTGTGTGTGTGTGTGTGTGTGTGTGTGTGTGTGTGTGTGTGTGTGTGTGTGTGTGTGTGTGTGTGTGTGTGTGTGTGTGTGTGTGTGTGTGTGTGTGTGTGACCATAAGTCAAAACAAGACTTCAAAGACTTGAGACGGCATTTTTGACATCTACAGACTAAACTATGCGACACTCCAACACACACTGATAGGCAGGAAACCAAACACACACACTGTAGATCTGTATCAAGCGCACACACATACACACACATACACACACACACACAGATTACAGTCACGGTCAAAGCCTTTAAGTATCCAATTATGAGTGTTTTGACTTCTTCTAATGTTGCGTATAGGAGACTCTTGTGTGTGATTGTGTTACAAGTCATGGAGACGTAAATATGTTCAGACAACCTCATTTTAGGAACTTTAAGATGTTAACTGTAACATTTTAGGGTTTATATTTTAGTTTCAATCATTTGTGTTCAATCATGATGAGCACCAGACTTGATTTGAACCCATAACATGCACTGGTTTGGTCCAACTTTCTTAAGATTTAGGGTGTTTTAGATGTATTGTTGTTGTTGACTTAATAATGAGACATTTATACTAATATTGGGAAACCGGAGTGCCTTACCCATGGGACCATCTATTTTCCTCTAAATGGGACCATCATTTACTAAATGAACATCATACTGTGTTGTAGAATACTTGAAACCACAGATTGAGACCATTAACTCTCCAGGGAAATGTTTACTGAGGAAATCAATCAAGGGAGAAGTTGGGTTACTTTTTCATAGACTTCTTTTCAATCTGCTCTGTTCTGTTAAGTCCCCTGCTGGCTATTAGAGAGAATGCATGTTCCCATTCATACATTTTCCATTTTTGTCTATTTCAGGGCCAACTATAACGGTGTTGATCTGAACAGAAACTTCCCCGATGCGTTCGCTGGTCTCCGGAAACAACCGCAGCTGGAAGAAAGTAGGCGGGAGGCAGAGGTTAGTGTGTTGAGATCATAGACTGTATATATAGGTTGAGATGCAAAAACAGCTAGCAAAAAAGGGTAGAAAACCTTAAAGGGGGTTCATTATGTAAACAAATATTGAAAATCACTTCGCAAGAGGAATTGTTGTGAATGAATCCATCACTAACAATAGCCCTTCATAAAATACACTATTTCTCTTGTTTGTATACAAATACAGAGTATCCTCAGCATTATCTGTTAAAAAATATTTTTCAAAATTGGTTGTCTGCTCTGTGATTGGTCGGTTGTTGTGTCATGTCTTACAGGTCAGGGCTGTGATTGGCTGGTTGAGGATGGAGAGTTTTGTTCTCTCTGCAAACCTTCATGGAGGAGCTCTGGTGGCCAGCTATCCCTACGACAACAGCAACGGAGGTACACACACACACACACACACACACACACACACACACACACACACACACACACTTTGTAATACATGTAAGTCGTCTTACAGCAGTATGACTCCAAGTTTATTCGTTTAGAAGTGTAACTCCGTGAAAAAACAAAACTTGGTGGTCCTCAAAAAACCAATAGCAATGTTTTGTTATGAGTTTTTTTAAGATGAGTTTTTCCTTTTCATATAAAGAGTGACGCACAGAGATGGAGAGACAGGAAACAGGCTCTTAGACTCGTGACATTGTTGAGCAGCGACAGATAAATAAACAAGTTTAGTAGAACAACTTTCCCACACACTCAAAACCCACTATGAGGAACCAGCAGCCTTTTATGCAAATCAATGTAACTGAATAAAACCCAGGTAATACCTCTCATTAAAACATCATTTTCACTTTCATTTGACCCCTAACCCATCACAATCCCCCTGCTTCCACTCCTACTGCTATTTATGTAATGTTTACTTGCCCCTCTTGTTTGTTTGTTTGTTTGTTCACCATGTAAAGCGGCCGTGGGTCCCTTGAAAGGCGCTATACACATTTAATATATTAGTATTATTATTATATACATATTTCTGCAGGTAGTGAGCTGGTGGGCGGGGCCAGTGTTAGCCCTGATGATGATGTTTTTAACCACCTGGCGAAGGTTTACTCCCATAACCACGCCTCCATGCACCACGGGGAGCAATGCCGCGACAGCGGACCGTTTCCGGAGGGCGTAACCAACGGATACCTGTGGTACGCAATCTCAGGTGAGCACCATGCATAACGTTTCACCAGATAGGGACAATAAGCAAGCGGGGTGCAGGAATGAGGCCTAAAAGCCCCAAATGAGTCCGAGTTTTACCACTTCCCGTCCCCTGGTGTGAAAGTCAATGGTGCTTTGAGTGTTTTTGTGGTTGTTAGCCTGAAATAAGGTCTGTTGTTAACAAAAACTGAAGAGATTTGTATTCTTCAACATCAAATAAGTCAGTAAATATCCCACTGGTGAATTTAAAAACAGCGGTTGCTAACAAGTGTCTAAATGAGACGATTAAACGTCATCGCGCCCAACATTAGCCGCCTTTAGCTTAGCGGTGGTGACGTGAAGTCATGTGACCATGCTGTAGTTCCTTTATAGCCCAACATTAGCCTCCTTTAGCTTAGCGGTGGTGATGTGAAGTCATGTGACCGTGCTGTAGTTCCTTTATAGCCCAACATTAGCCTCCTTTAGCTTAGCGGTGGTGACGTGAAGTCATGTGACCGTGCCGTAGTTCCTTTATAGCCCAACATTAGCCGCCTTTAGCTTAGCGGTGGTGAAGTGAAGTCATGTGACCGTGCCGTAGTTCCTTTATAACCCAACATTAGCCACCTTTAGCTTAGCGGTGGTGACGTGAAGTCATGTGACCGTGCTGTAGTTCCTTTATAGCCCAACATTAGCCACCTTTAGCTTAGCGGTGTTGACGTGAAGTCATGTGACCAGTGCTGTAGTTCCTTTATAGCCCAACATTAGCCTCCTTTAGCTTAGCGGTGTTGACGTGAAGTCATGTGACCGTTGCATAGTTCCTTTATACCCAACATTAGCCACCTTTAGCTTAGCGGTGGTGACGTGAAGTCATGTGACCGTGCTGTAGTTCCTTTATAGCCCAACATTAGCCACCTTTAGCTTAGCGGTGGTTGACGTGAAGTCATGTGACCGTGCTGTAGTTCCTTTATAGCCCAACATTAACCGCCTTTAGCTTAGCGGTGTGACGTGAAGTCATGTGACCGTGCTGTAGTTCCTTTATAGCCCAACATTAGCCACCTTTAGCTTAGCGGTGGTGATGTGAAGTCATGTGACCGTGCTGTAGTTCCTTTATAGCCCAACATTAGCCTCCTTTAGCTTAGCGGTGTTGACGTGAAGTCATGTGACCGCGTTGTAGTTCCTTTATAACCCAACATTAACCACCTTTAGCTTAGCGGTGTTGACGTGAAGTCATGTGACCGTGCTGTAGTTCCTTTATAGCCCAACATTAGCCACCTTTAGCTTAGCGGTGGTGACGTGAAGTCATGTGACCGTGCTGTAGTTCCTTTATAGCCCAACATTAGCCACCTTTAGCTTAGCGGTGGTGACGTGAAGTCATGTGACCGTGCTGTAGTTCCTTTATAGCCCAACATTAGCCACCTTTAGCTTAGCGGTGTTGACGTGAAGTCATGTGACCGTGCTGTAGTTCCTTTATAGCCCAACATTAACCGCCTTTAGCTTAGCGGTGTTGACGTGAAGTCATGGGACCATGCTGTAGTTCCTTTATAGCCCAACATTAGCCACCTTTAGCTTAGCGGTGGTGACGTGAAGTCATGTGACCGTGCTGTAGTTCCTTTATAGCCCAACATTAGCCACCTTTAGCTTAGCGGTGGTGACGTGAAGTCATGTGACCGTGCTGTAGTTCCTTTATAGCCCAACATTAGCCACCTTTAGCTTAGCGGAGGTGACGTGAAGTCATGTGACCGTGCTGTAGTTCCTTTATAGCCCAACATTAGCCACCTTTAGCTTAGCGGTGGTGACGTGAAGTCATGTGACCGTGCTGTAGTTCCTTTATAGCCCAACATTAGCTTTTTACTTCAGAAATGTGGTATATTTATGTTAATATGAGGAGATTATCCAGCTGAACTAAACGTGTAAGAATCATAAACGTTTGTTTGACACAGAGATAATTCTCTGCTATAATCCAAAATCATGTTGAGAAATCCCTTTGGCTTTGGAAGTAGTTTATGATCCAACATCAATATGGTCTCTAGTCAGCGTGAGTCTGATTCCTAGAGGGACTTCAGTGGAAACATCAGGCTCTGGTTTCCTGCTGCAGAAATCTGATCTGCAACACGATCGCTGAACTGACAGAGACTGAACCTGAGGGAACTGAACACTGAGGGCTGAAAAACATCCACTGTACAGATAATTAAATGTTAATTAGCCTAAGTTAAATTCACCTTAAATCCCTTCTGGCTTTGTGTCATGTCATAATCAAATTAAGTCAGTTTACATAGTGTGCATTTAATACGTCCAACCCTGGGTGTTTATCATACATTTTATATTGAAATGTGTTTCTTTACTTCTTGTTTTGATGTTTTATTTGCATGAGTTAGGTTTTAATTGTATTCCTTTGTTGGCAGTTATTGATTAATCTCCCTATCATTTTCTACGTCTCTAAATCTCTTGTTTAGTCAGTCCAAAAACCAGAGATATTTCCTTTAAGTCCAAACGCAGTTATAATCATATAAAAACCTGGATATTCGTATGCTTTATCCGGGTTAGTCTAGGTCAAAGTGTCCTAGTTTTATTATCCAGTATTTATTTCAATGTTATTTACATGACATGGCTTGCAGGGCACACTTAGTCAAAATTAAACCCCATTAAATGCTGAAGTATCTGCACACATTCATGCAAAGTATCAATGCCTTGTATTATAAAGACTTTGTCTAACTCTTGGACAGCCAATATGCACATTTATTTAGCTTTTTAAATCATTTTCCAGCTTTATTGTGGTGGAATTTGTGTGTTGTAATTCTGTATTTATTCTATGGAGAGGCAGCCAGGACACTTCCTAAAACAAAACGTGTCCATTCTTCACAAAAATTGCTCAAACAACCTGAAGAAAATAAGTGTACACTCGTTGCAAAGGAGCACAACTTTGTTTTCAAGGGTGTATTAAGGTGAGAACAAAAGCAAAAGGTAATCCTGAGTTTGATGAGATGAAAGTAAATAAACAAATAAATAACTTGACTCTGCAAAACTTCATCAAAATAATGTTTTTTGCTTAGAATCAGCCTAAAACACATGTGTCAAACTCACGGCCCGGGGGCCAAATCAGGCCCTTGGTGGATTTAATTTCGGCCCGCAGGATAATTTCTAATTCTTATTAGATCTGGCCCGCCGGTATATTGCACGCACACCTTCACTCCATCCTGAGGGTCTCCTCCGCTCAGAGCCTGAGCCCAAACATTGATGACCTTGCACCCAAGATGAGACGCCAAGTATCTGAACTCATCACAGAGCAGCACACTGAGTTTAATGGATGCTTCCTTCTGCACTTTCTCTCTCGACAACAGGGCATGTTTGGTTTTCTCTTTGAGGGGAATAGTTTTGTTGAAGCTGTTGTTGGCCTGTGGGGAAATGTACTCATAAGAAATGACTGTGGAAAAGCTGCAGATAGAGCCATAAGAAATGAATGCAGCTGATTATTTAATGTTGTTTTTATAGGCAATAAATTAAGCTTTGTTAGTTCCAGGTTTAATATGTGCAATAAGTTCATTTCAATACGTTTTGCAATAAACATTGAACCAGTCCGGCCCTCCACTAGTACCCATTTTTTAATGTTGGCCCACTGTGTATTTGAGTTTGACCCCCCTGCTCTAAAACAACAAGAAATATGTTACATTTTATACCAAATCCTGTATCTAAACATCTAGATACAGTATGAATATACAATAAATGTCTTCTGCTGAACCCTGATACATTTTGTTGGGGTTATTTAACATTTTAGAGAAATGTCAACAACCTCATAAATACTGGATACAGCAAATACTTTTTTATTTCCAAAAATATGCAGCATCTAGATATTGTTTGGTACTGGCACTGACTGAAAAACCACACATTGACAACCAATACAACAGCGCCGCCTGTGTTCCCAAAATATAGTGGATGTGTAGAGTTCAGTCGTTTTTTGGTATGTAAAAGTTGTAGTTTGTGTTTATTTTCAAAGCACCAGACTACATTTAACTTTTCACCAAATTACCTTCAGAAATTACTCACTATTTATACTGTATTTTTTCCAATTTAATCACAATTGTACCTTAAATGTATAGTTTTTGGTCTGTTTTTACGTGTGTGTGTGTGTGTGTGTGTGTGTGTGTGTGTGTGTGTGTGTGTGTGTGTGTGTGTGTGTGTGTGTGTGTGTGTGTGTGTGTGTG